TCGATATGCAGTATGGCCCAAAATGCGTCTTATACTGAAGTTCTACTTCGTGCTCCCAAAAATATTCAGTTATCTGGTCATATAATCTATGATAAACAAAAAATTGATAATGGTAGCCTTATCCAGTACGATCATGACAAGGAATTATGGCAAGGTTTGTTTGCTCCACAAAATACAGGTTTACATAAAATAACAATATATGCAAAAGAAAACGAAAATTCTAGTATATCAGAATCCGTCATTAACTTCGATTTAAATGTGACAGATTTGAAACGTTTCATATTATTTCCTAAAACCTATAGTCAATTTCAAAAAACACAATGTAAAATATATGAACCGTTTGAAATGAAAAAGGTTCTAGCGTTACGTTGCATTGTCAAATACCTAATGCTAATGTTGTTGAATTCAGTTTGATTCAAAATCAGAGTGAGAACAAGAAGGTGATTATGAAAATAATATTTTAAAACGACAAATAACAGTTCCAAACCAAAATGTTGTAATTATGGGTAAGTACAAGGAAGGAAAAAGTTATTCATCACTTATTGAGTATACAGTAAAATAAAGAAATAGTAAAATAAATTTTTTAAATACTTATATAGTTCCTTTATATTTAACTTGACTTTCAGAAATGGAAACAAAAAAATATTATTAATACATTGTCTTTATTCCATATGAATTTGTCCAGCCCAATTGTAGATTTGTTAACTCCCCTTTTTCTTAAGTAACACGTAAACTTTTCAATTTTTCATCAATTCCATTGTACATTTTTTCCCGTTTACGAGTTTGGACTTCAGATTCTTCTGCGTGATGGTACTTAAAGACATGTTCTTTTTAAAGGTTTACGTTTTTCTCTTTTTGTGTGAAACTTAACATTGCAAACGTCACTCACACGACAATCTTTGGTCAAATGTCAATTCTACTGTCTGTTTTACATACGTTTCCGTACATATTTTCATTTATTTTAATCTGATCAACATGGATGAAACCCTTGTTATTTTGAAGCATCATAAGGTGTCCATTAACTGTGTCTTTTTAAACTTACATTTCATTTCTGTAGCCATAATGGATCGTAAGCAAATTTTTTATAGCGCTCACTTGATTCTGAGTTTACTCGTTTGTAGCGTAATCTACAATCCATCCATCTGTATTTCCAGCAACAGAGACATCTTGATCATCCTTGTTACTGATATCACCATCTGTTAGATTATTTCACTTTATGATAAAACAATCGGAAATGTTTGTCGAGTATTTTCATCCTCAGTATCATGAAATCAATTAACATTTGATGGTTGAGGAAGCGGTTGATGCATTTCATCCGTTTTGCAAGCAACAGTAAAATCTTTTACTAACGAGGGAACCTCCCGAGGTGATAAATCGCTTTTTGATCGACATCTAGTGGATTATAGGTTATCGACCATGCTGATTCCAAATATGACCATGAGACTTCTCCATAGCTCTTCGAACATCCAGTCTTCTAAAAAAGCAGTTTTTCAGAAACCCCAAAAATAACCCAAGTCTTTCTTAATAATGCAGGATTGTAGCGCGTAAATTTCTGATTAAAATGATACATCCC